CCTTGTATATTTATTTATCCTCTTTTCAAAAAAGTATACTTATTCCCAAAAACCTTTTTTACACTACTAAATTAAAAGGGTTTCCCCCATTTTCTTTACCCCTGGTACCCCAAATTTACCTACTACTCCCCCCACAACATTTTTCCCTACTTTAGCACTGAAATCCCCAACCAACATTCCCCCAAATGGTTCAAAACTCCCCAGCATTCATCAACATTTTCCCTTTTATCTCTCTCGCTCCTCTACACTTCCCCTTTCTCCAGGTCCAAATACGCTTACAAAACCCCGCTTTTCCATCCAACCTTTTTTTTTACTCCACATAACCTTGAATTAATACTTTTAAAGTCCCTTTTTTCCTGCCATAATTTCCTTCAACATTATTGCTGCCCCTTTCTTTAGCCTAACTCTACTTGAAACCCTTTCACCTAATCCCATTTATTCCTCTTACTGAAACTCCCCCCCCCCTTTTTCAGCTTTTTTTCACTTAAACCCAGGACATAAGTTTCTTCTCATTCATAAACACCAAATCATCTCTTTCTTATCATTTGCACAAATCACGCAATTCAGACTTCCCACTTTGTAATTTTCTTATTATTCTTTTTAGAAATTTACGGGAAAAAGGGGGTTACTACCCCATTTTTCCCCCGGCATTTTAGTTGACTTTTCAACACACATGGTTTACGGATAAAGATTTATTCCATTTCCCCCTGGATATAAAAGGAAAAAATAATAAGCCAAGAACTTTTTAAGATAAAATCAAAGAAAACTCAGTGAGTGTGCAAAAATAAACATGTACATGTATGTGTAGGTGCCCAAGTGTATAGAAGTAGCAAGTTTTACCTGTAATCTTGCATATTTAAACACAGACAAAAGACACCAGCAACCCACCTATGAAAAACAAAACAGACTTCGTTTCACACTCACTTGGCAAGAGGGTAGTACCCCATGGGGGTTGCTGTCTCCCAGCTACCGCCTAGTTGATATTTTTTTTACGTATTTAAATCCCTTTATTAAATTTCCTGTTTTCCTTTTATACACCCTAATAAATTTCCCCCAAATTTACGTTTTTCTAGAGATGCAGTCCAGGCCTCAGTTTCCTCATAGGGAGTTTTGATACATGAGATAAAACTTTGTCATCCCCTTTGTCGTTTTCCAGTGTTTTTAACCCATTCTCCAGCGAAATGGTTCTGGAGGAACACCATTTGTATATAATACAGGGTCTATTAAAAGATATGATTTTTAGCTAATCGAGCAAAAACCTTCAAAAAAAGAGCTGCAAGCCCATGATGAAAATATTTAGGGCGCTTTTTTATCTAGGCTGGAATATTGCTGCACACTAACGCACCTCTCAAGGCAGGTAAAATTGCTGACCTAGAAAAAGTACAGAAAACCTTCACAGCACACCAACTGGATAAAAAAACTTCAATTACTGGGAACGCTTGAAGTTCCAAACTTTCCCCTAGAAAGAGGTGGGAAGGATACATTTTTTTTTTTTAACAAACCGGCCGTATCCCCCCAAGGCGGGGGGCCCAAAAAGGAAAAAAAAAGTTTCTTTTTAAATTTAGTAATTTATAAGAAGGGGTTTTCTAGCCCTTTCTCCTGGCATTTTGTCGCCCCTTTACAACACGCATGGCTTATGGAGGAAGATTTCTGTTCCATTCCCCATGGAGATAAGAGGAAATAAACAAGAACAAGAAAAAATGAAGAAACCCAGAGGGGTGTGATAATATTTGTACTGTATGTGTAGTTGACCTAAGTGTAAGTAGAAGTAGCAAGATGTACCTGAAATTTGCATGTTTAAGGAAAAGAAAAAAGGCACCAGCAATCCTACCATCATGTAAAACAATTACAGGATTCCATTTTACACTCACTTGGCAGGATAGCAGTACCTCCCTGGGCGGTTGCTGTCTACCAACCTACTACCTACAAGATACATTATAAAACTTGGAAAATCTAGGGGTTTTGAACCAAAATCAACAAAATCATCATATGAAAGTGTAAAAGACTTGGCAGACAATGCAGCATTCCCCCAATGAAAAGCAGGGGTGCCACTGTTCAACTGCCTCCCAGCATACATAAGGGGGATTACCAATAGACCCTTTGCTGTCTTCAAGCAGGCACTGGATAGGCACCTAAAGTCAGTGCCTGACCAGTCGGGCTGTGGTTTGTACGTCGGGTTGCGAGTGGCCAACAGTAACAGCCTGGTTGATCAGGCCCTTATCCACCACGAGGCCTGGTCATAGACCAGGCTGCAGGGGCATTGACCCCCGGAACCCTCTCCACGTATACTGTAATAAAATGATGCCAGTTGTTATCTGTTTATCTCAAAAATGTTAAGTCCTTTTCTTAATAAAGTATCCTCACAGTTAAAGTACTCGCTCTCAAAAGAAATTATTACGCTGCCTTTCAATTAGGGGATGTGCCAAAGTATCAACATCAATGGATACTGAATAATTTTGATGGTACCAGTATTGGCCTAACACTGAGTATCTGTATCAGTTTAACATTGAGTATTGATATGTATTGGCAAAAATTTTGGTTTAGTTCCATTACTAGTTTCAGTGATATCTATGAACTAGCTTTTGTTTAATTTAGTAAAAATGTCTCATACTCACCTCGGTAATTTTACAGTATATTCTTTCGAAGAACCCTGGAAAATACAAAAACAAATTAATAGACAGCGTGTGTATGATGTTTCACTAATTTAACATTTTTTTTTTTTCAACAAGTATGCCGTCTTCCACTGAGGCAGGGTGACCCAAAAAAAAGAAAATCCCCAAAAAGAAAATACTTTCATCATCAATCAACACTTTCATTCACCTCACTCATACATAATCACTGTCTTTGCAGAGGCACTCAGATACAACAGTTTAGAAGTCCCTCCAAACTGCATATCCTAACCCTCTTTAAGTGCATGCAGTACACCCATTTCCGGATCAAGTCCTCTTATAACCGTAATTTAACATGTAATCATATACTAATCAATTTAAGTGCTAAACCAACATATTAATGTAACAAACATAGCCAGTAAGCACCTCTCAATAATAAACAGTATGGATGTACGTACATATATAACAGCTATCATAAATGTGAATGAGAATAAACTAATCACACAATATAAAATGCACACCATAATATATGTTTTAAAACTAAAATACTGAATGGAAATAAGTCACTCTGTCTGACTTTTTTGGGTTATCCCAGGTTGTCTACACATATGCTGCTATGTATGATAATTCTATGTAACTGTATTTGTGTATACCTGAATAAATTTACTTACTTACTTAAGGGCCCCAATGGAAATAAGTCACTTTGACTTTTTTGGGTTATCCCAGGTTGTCTACACATATGCTGCTATGTATGATAATTCTATGTAACTGAATTTGTGTATACCTGAATAAATTTACTTACTTACTTACTTAAGGGCCCCAATGGAAATAAGTCACTTTGTCTGACTTTTTTGGGTTATCTTAGGTTCTCTACACAGACCGGGCCGCGGGGGCGTTGACCCCCGGAACTCTCTCCAGGTAAACTCCAGGTATATCAATCAATCAAGTTTATTCTCTATAAAGATTACAACACAGGGTTTACAGATTTTGGATACTGTGTGGTTTACATGTTATAAAATACTAATTACAGAAGGGGACACTAGGACACCTAGCATGGCTAGGCATTTCGGGCAGACTTGGATTAATTCTTAACTCTAAATTAACATGGATTATGGAGTAAGTTGGTATTAAGGCTAAGTGACTACATTAAAGTTTGTGAGTTTAGCAATGTGAATGCTTTTTTTTGAACAAATACACAGGTTCAATTTGGAGTACCCAAGGCAAACTTTGATATTGGATTCATTATTTTATGATTAAGATTCTTACTGTGTTTATAGTAAAAAATGGGTGAGTGAGTGAAAGTGTAAACAGGTGGTTTCTCTCTCTCTTATCTCTCTCTCTCTTCCTCCCCACAGGTACAGTAAGAAAAGTTTCAAATAGTATAAATTCCCTAGGAAACCCAAATAATCCAGAAAAAGTGAATACAGGGGGACTGTGCCAGTGCCCTAAATTAATAATATTAAATACAGGTCCCCCTCAACTCGCGTTTTCAACTTTCACGGGCTTCAGCATTCGCGAATTCTAAACCCCAAATTTCCAACCCCAAAATTCCAGCCCCCCAAATCATATTTAAGTTTCCCCCACCTGCGAGCCCCTACTACCCTCCCCCAACCCCGGCAACTGGCAGCCAGCCCTCCCCCCAGGTGGTAAATTTTTGTTTTTCTTTTTTGCTATTAAACTACAGTAAAATAATGTAAACCCCTTTTCAGATGATATTGGAAGGCTATTAACAGGGATTGGACGGTGACTTATGTGTTGACCTTGAACACAGCAAAGAAAACAAACATTTTGCACTATAATAATAAAAATGTAATAATAATAATAAAATAATAAAAAATAATAATAATAAAATGTAGAATTTAAGAAGGAAATTGTCAAAAATAGGAGGTAAAAGGTTCACCGTCAGGTGGCTTTCTTTATTTCGGAGTGAGCATTTGACTCCGTGCTCTTCAAAAATTTACAATAATTCAATGTGTTCGGTGTTTGTAGATTGAGTGCGGGCTGGAGTGGTAGAGGCAGTGGTTAGGCGGTGAGGCAGTGGGGAGGGGGGGGGGAAAATGGGTGAGGCAGTGGGTGAGGGATGGGTGAGGGAGTGGGTGAAGCAGTGGGTGAGGCAGTGGGGGAGGCAGTGGTTGAGGCAGTGGGGGAGGCGGGGTGAGGCAGGGGGTGAGGAAAGGGTTTAGGGAGGGTTTAGGAGGGGGTGAACAGTGGGGAGGGAGTGGTTGAAATTCAGGGTTTTAGGGAAACGGTTGAGGCAGTGGGTGAGGAAAATGGTTTAGGCTGGGTGAGGCAGGGTTTAGGCGTGGTTTGGGGAGTGGGTGAGCCGTGGTGAGGCAGGGTTGGGCAGGGGGAGGCAGGGTTTAGGAAACGTTGAGGCGGGGTGAGGAGTGGTTGAGGCAGTGGTGAGGGAGTGGTTTAGGCAGGGGTGAGGAGCGGGGGGGGTTTAGGAGTGGGGGAGGCAGTGGTTGAGGCAGGGTTAGGGGTGGTTTAGGCAGTGGTTTGGGGAGGGGTAGGCCGGGGGGGGAATTTTACATTTTCTGGGGGAAAATTAATTTAAATTAATTAGGAATTTTAGGATTACATTTTCAGGGTTACAAAAAAAGGTTGGCAGGGTTTTAGGGATTAACATGGGTAGGGATTTAGGCTGGGTAATTCTTTAAAAGGGTTACAGCTGAGCGTGGTTACTTTTGAAGTTTAGGCCATGGGTACAAAGGCAGGTTAAAGGGGGGGGGCAGGGGGGGACATTCAGGGGTAGGGAGGGTTCGTTAGGAGTGGGGTTAAATTACATGGGGGGGGCTTTGGGGGGGAAGGGGTTACAAATGGGGGAATAATGGGGGAGGGAAATTTTAATGGGGGGGGGCATTTTAAAAAAGGGTCAGTTACAGGGGGGGACTTAATGGTGGGGGGTTTAGGAGTGGGTGAGGAAGGGTTAATTTAATAAACAGTGGGGGGGCTTTTATTTTGTTAATAATAATTTATTTATTTATTTATTTATTTAGTAATTTGAGCATACACACAGAGGTACAAAAAAAAAATACAGGTAAGAGCAGCATGCCAAAGCCACTTATATGCATAGCATTACGGCTGGCTAAAATTAACTTAAGATCAACTAAGCAATGATGTAATCAGTGATAAAACATTATTGTAAACAGATAACAATAAAGCACAAATGAGTATTACAAAGACAGGTCATATGGTTGCATGCATTGCTGTACATTCAGTCGTATGGAGTATTCTGTTAGGTAGTGTATTTAAAAAATAATAAAGTTAGATTGGGTTTTAGGTTTAACATTTATGTGATATAATTGTGAGAAACATTTAAGATATTCAATTTATAAGGTTCAGTTATTCAGTATTTATTTGGTTTTGGGTGAGTAAGTGATCTTTGAGAAGAGACTTGAATTTATAAACAGGTAGTGTTTCTTTTATATTTACAGGTAATAAATTCCAGATTTTAGGGCCTTTTATGTGCTGTGAGTTTTTGCATAGCGTGAGATGGACATGAGGAACATCAAAGAGTGATCTGTGCCTTGTGTTATGGTCATGTGTTCTGTTGAGGTTGGCAAGGTGATGTTTGAGGGGAGGGTTAATATCAGAGTTAAGTGTACTATGTATGTAGTAGGTGCAATAATAAGTATGGATGTTTTGTATGGTGAGTAGTTGAGTGTTTTGAATATTGGTGGAGTGTGCTGCCTGTAGTGAGAATAATAATAATAATAATAATTAATAATAATAATAATAAATGTTATTAATACGTATTATTATTATTTATAACATGCTATTAAATACCAGTGCCTCAACCGCTGCCTAAACCGCTGCCTCTACCAGTGCCTCAACCGCTGCCTCACCCACTGCCTCAACCACTGCCTCAACTGCTGCTTCACCCACTGCTTCAACTGCTGCCTCACCCACTGCCTCACCCACTGCCTCACCCACTGCCTCACCTACTGCCTCAACCGCTTCCTCAACCACTGCCTCTACCACTCCAGTCGCACTCAATCTACAAGCACAAAACACAATTAATTATTGTGAAATATTTGGAAGAGCATGGAGTCTAATGCTCACTCCAGCATAAAGAAAGCCACACTGACGATGTGTCAACCACTACCTCCTATTTTTGTACAATTTCTTTCTTCAATTCTATTGTATTTATTATAATTATTATTATTATTATTATTATTATTAATTATTACTACTACTATTATTGTTATTAGCAGTAGCAGCAGCAGAAATGTTTGATTCTTTGCCGTGTTCAAGAGTCAACACATAATGTCACCGTCCAATACCTGTCTGAATAGCCATTCCAATATGCAGTCATGAATGGGTTTACATTATTTATACTGAAATTTTAATAGAAAAAAAATGACAAACAAAACACTCCCACACGGAAGGGGGGCGGGCTGCCATTTGGGGGGTTGGGGGGAGGGTAGTAGGTATCCCAGTGGTCGGGGAAGTGGAGGAAAGGGTGGGGGGAAAGGTGAGACAGGGGGTTTTTAAAAATAACATACTTTTTTTTTAAACCCCATAACATGAAATGTATTTAATACAATTTAAATTTTTTTTATGTTTTAAAAATGATTTTTCATGGTTCAACAAGTTAAGGAAGAAGTTTGTTTTAATATTTCCCTAAAAATATTTTGGGGGCACCAAATTTTTCGGGGATTTTTCAAACTTTCCGCGGGCTTTTTGTTTCCCCTAACCCTCGTGAATGTTGAGGGAAACCCCTGAAATTATTTTTTATTACAAAAATACATATAAAAAAAATATTAATTTTAAATTATTATTAAACATGATATAAAAAACCCGTGCCCCATTCATTCCCTTACCTTAAAATATCTGTATTTTAAAGTGAGTAAGAGGTGAGAAAAATAAGTTTAAAATGAATAAACGAACGAGTGTTAGAATTTTTGGCGAGTTATATAAACAAACGTTGTTGTTGTTTTTTGTTACCACCCCGGGACACAATGATTCCTTTTTCACTCTGTAAAGGGGCCCAAACCAAAAAAAAACTCATATTTTTTTAATTTTAAATATGTTATATTTTTAGAAAAATTTTTTAATTATAAATTTTGAAAAAAAAAATCATAGATGGATAAACAAAATGCCCAAAACAACTTTTTTATACACATTTAATGCGCCCCAGTAATTATTATTTTTAAACATTTTTAAATTATGGAAATTTTCAAGCCCAATTTTACACTTTTAATGAGGGGTTTCTGAGACAGACAAGCAACAGAAAGACAACCCCAGGTAGACATA